GAGAGAGAGAGAGAGAGAGAGAGAGAGAGAGAGAGAGAGAGAGAGAGAGAGAGAGAGAGAGAGGTTAGTGATTCTGAGGAATAGAGCGGCAGAGCGAGTGCGGCTTTGTCATTGCTTCTTCTGGCGACACGTGGGCTTCTTCCGTATTATCAGATCCGATGGACCAGGTCGAAAGGCGAGAATCAATGTATTCGATTAGCGCAGGATAGATTGCCTGTGCCGACGCATACAGCTGTGAATTTTTGACAAGGCTAAGATCGTACGTACAAAATCGTACGGAACACTGGATTGATCCCTTTTTTTTTTTTTTTTTTTTAAAGCACTCGATTAGAGGAGAGAGAGTTGATGAGCAGCGGTGACGTCGGGAGGATAATGAATGGTGTCTAGATAGAGACAACCGACATGCCACGGGTTGAAGGAGGGAGAAAGGGGTAGTGGTGGTTGGTTCTCCATTGACCCAACATCTCCCTCTCTCCGCCATCCTCCTAGTCTTCTTCGATGGAAGCTCAGCGATCATCGTTTTTTTTCCCTTGGGAATCATCGGTATTCCTGTACTGCGCCCCTTTATTTCCAAATTCGTCCGTTCTTGTCACAGTACACACAGCTCTTCTTTCTCATCTTTCCTATTCGGGCAGGCATTAATTCGTGATCAGTTGATAGCGACAAGGCCATCGCATGTACTTTACTTTTTTTTTTTTTTTTTCCTGTGACGTGTCCTATCCGTTTCATTTTCTCTGCTCGTGTTTTCAACTAGCTCTTTTTTTTTTTTCTTTTTTCTTTTTTTTTCTCGCCACGTGGGTGAAATCCATTTAAAATTTCGCACCCGACGAATTACGATTCGTGTCACTTTGCCCGACCATTAATTACTTACGTCGACAACGTGCCTAACATCATTTTCTTCTTCTTCTGCTTTGTTGTTCTTCTTCTTCTTCTTCCTTTTTCTTTTTTTTGGCGTAATACTGGTTACATTCCAATTTTACGGCTACCGGCTTCCCCCCAGTACAAAGTGCATCGCCGCATCTTGTCAGAACCTTGGCCCCAATACAGCAACGATGACAGTACGTTCTATTCGGGGGAGAAGACTTTCGTCGGGCTCGTCGTCGGCGAACCCTCCTCTTCCTCCCACCCCTGTACGTGCGACCTCGCCATTCATCGGATAATCTTCTTCCATTTTATTATTTTTTTTAATTTTTCTTTTCCCCGTGTTCCATCTTCTCCTCTCCTTATGCGAGGTGACCGTCTCGTTTTTTTTGTTTTTTTTTTAAATAATAATTGCTCTTGTTTGTTGATCAAATTCTGTGCTTGAATGCGGTCGCACCGTTAAACCCTGTTGAGATATCTTCGTCGGGGTCCTGGATCTCCATCGCGATCGGGGATCGGGGTCGGTGCAGCGGAGGTGCAATCGCCGGTCAAGCACGGGCGTTTCCTTCAACTTCCCCCCCCCCCCCCCCCCCCTCACCCCCCCGCATTCCCATAGCAACCTATTTCGGGCAAAAGGAAGGAGGGGAAAGAAAGAGGAAAAGGAAAGAGGGAGTTGGGGGAAACGAAGGAAGGGGAAGAGGAGTGGGGGGAGGAAAGATGAAAGCTTTCGCTGTTCAGTCCTCTGGTATGCTAGCCTTGATGATAGAAGGGATTTGTGTATCAGTAAGTCTGTTGACAGCGTTGCTGTTATTGACAGTCGCGACTGTGACACATGTCACAATCGAGCGGATTGATAATCGATCGCCGGCTGATGCTTTCTCGTTGATGAGTAGTCCTGATAGGGCATTGCGGTCGCCCGCGGCAGCAGCAGGTCCCCCTGCACCATCGCGTGCGGCGCCTTCGGTTGAGCAGCAGCTCCTGTCCCGTCTACATGGGGAGGAGGGGAGGGGTGGAAAGGAGGGAGGAAAGCAGCAGCACCAGCAGCAGGAGCAGGAGGAGGAGGAGGAGGAGGAGGAGGAGGAGGAGGTGGAGAGGAGTAGGAGTAGGAGGGGGAAGAAGATCCAGGGAAGGACAAACATCTCTGCTACGAAGTTGGTCGCAATCGGGAGGCTGGGATCGGGATCGCAGATGAATCGAATCGAGTACGGCCGCGACCGTCGGGGGGAGGGCCGGGGGGTTGCGACTGATGTGTTGTCGTTGGCGCGCAGTGACTCTAGCGCCACGATTCCGTCTTCTTCCGTCTCTTCGGCTCTGCTGTCCCGGTCCCGATCGGTCGATGTGAAGTTCGCCGCTTCGACACGAACACCACGTGCCCCTTTGCAGTCCGCAGGTCGTATCGTCGCTTCCACTGCGTCATCATCATCATCATCATCATCATCATCATCATCATCGTCGTTCTTGTCATCGCCATCATCCACGTCCTCATCATCGTCGTCCTTGTCATCGCCATTGCCGGAAGCTAATTATACCCTATTGAAGGGTACATGGCCATCATCTTCGCCAGCGCCATCGCCAGCGCCATCGCCAGCGCCAGCGCCAGCAGCTGCTGCTGGGAACGCGGCATCTTCTTCGCCATCTTCTTCCCCGATGTCCCCCACCGTTCGTGTCCTCCTGGATCCTCCTTCTTCATCACCGGCAAGGAACGCGTCTGCTTCGTCGTCTTCTTCGCCATCGCCAGGAGCTCAAATTGTCTCCTCCTCCTCGACTTCGTATCCATCGCCGTTTTCTTCCCTGTCACCGCCTACCGCTCCCATTCTCTCCAATTCATCAGTGCACGCAACGCCACCGCCACCAGCTCTCTCGGTAGGCCAAGGAGGTGATGCAAAAACCGCGTCTGCGTCGTCGTCGCCTTCCTCGCCATCGCCATCGCCATCGCCAGGAGCTCAAATCGTCCCCTCTTCCTCGAACGGGTATCCATCGCTGTCTTCCTCCCCGTCATCGTCGCCAGCTCGACTTCTCTCGAGGTCACCAGCACAAGTGCCGCCATTGTCAGCAGCAGCTATCTCGGTACCGCAACCACCTCCTGGGAACGCGTCCGCTTCTTCTTCCTCTTCTTCATCATCTTCTTCCTCATCTTCTTCCTCATCTTCTTCGCCATCGCCCGGAGTTGAAATGGTCTCGTCCTACCAGCCGTCATCTCGACCTTCTTCCACATCACCCCCCACAGCTCCTATCCTCTCCGATTCTCCATCACACCTTACGCCATCGTCAGCAGCCCTCTCGGTGTCAGCGCCATCTTCTTCTTCACCATATCCAGTAGCACCTGACGTTGTTTCTTCTCCCTCCTCCTTAACTTTTTCGACCTCGCCGACACCCGGCGACAATATCTCTTCTTCTTCGCCATATCCAGCAGCAGCTTCAGTCGCCTCAGAGTCTCCTTCCTCATCCGTGCCATCCGCGCCAGGAGGTCCTGCGGCATCATCAGCACCCGCGTCATCGACTTTGCCATCGCAATCCGAGGAAGGTAATGATTGGAATACGCGGGAGGGCGGAGGTCCGTCATCATCATCATCACCGCCATCATCATCATCATCATCATCATCGTCATCATCATCGCAATCCTTGTCCTTGGCAGGACCACCCCCAATTGAGTCGGGATCTGCGACATTATCGGAATCCTTGCCAGATTCCTTGTCGCGGTCTGCGCCCAGGTCATCATCACAAACAACGCCTGCTGAGTCAGCGATTGCCGGCGAGCTCAAGATAACGACAACGGAGACAAATGTTCACGTCGTTGGGAAAATTGCCATCCTGACAGATGCAGTGTGGGCAGAAGGCTGGTCGTTAGCAGACATAGCCGTCGCAAAGGACGACTCGAGCCTGCTGTACATCGTGTTGAGGAACACACAGGGATTGGGAGAGAGAGGAGGCCCACCAAGGTCGTACATTCTTACGGTCAGAGACGATCGGACAGACAGTTTGGCGATGGACAACCCACGAGGAGGAGGAGGAGGAGGAGGAGGGGAAAGGAACGGCAACGCCATGGCGTCTTCGGCGGGGAAAGATTGGTTATGGCAAGGAGGAGGTGAAGGAGGAGGAGGAGGTAATCTTCTAACCACCTCTGCCTATTCCCCTAATGAGTCAGACCTGCTTTCTCTCTCTTTCCCTCCGCCGGATGGAGCGTCTTCTCTCCCGCCATCTTTACCCGGGAACTGGTCGAGTGTCCCAGATAATCCAACCACCCTTGCAGCCGTCACGGCGATTGCCTGGACCCCCTGGGGACTGTTCATTGCAGATGGCGGGAAAAATTGGACGGATGGCGGGAAAGACTGCGGCGCAAATTTGGCGGGAAATTCGACAGCATCGGGTGATGGTTCTTGTCCGCCAACGAAAGGAGCGGAGATCAATTGGGCTGGCTGTAGCGGGGTCTACCCGGCTATGGCAGCGCGGGAAACGCCGATGTCCAGACCCTTCGTCTTTGTCTCTATCAACGACCCCACGGGGCTCGCGTTTCACTCCCATGGGTCGGCATCGGGATCGGGATCGGGCAACTTCGATCTGTATGCAGCCACGTCGTACGGCATCTCAGAGCTGAGCGGAGATCAGCCGACCATCGGGATCCTGGCGGGACCGGATCCCGCCGTCGTTCTAACTGCACCCGACCCGGACCCGGAATCGCCTTCAGGCACACAGCAAAACCCCCTCGCCGCTCCCGACTTAGGGATTCTGATTACCCCTCCTAGTATCCGTTTTGATTCCAATCATAGCAGTGGATATCAGTACGCGAACAACGCTAATTACACCAGCAATAGCAGTAGTAGTAGTAGTAGTAGTAGTAGTTCTAGTACTAGTAGTCATAGCAGTTCTAGTACTAGTAGTAGTTCTAGTACTAGTAGTAATAGCAGCAGTAGTAGTAGTAGTAGTAGTAGTAGTAGTGATGGATGTAGTGGAGGGGGTAGTTTAGTGGGGTATGCCGAGGGCCATGGCGCGCATGCGCGATTCAATGGGGTGGTAATGAGCTCGAACGGGCTGGCATCGGACGGCCAATGGATTTATGTTGCCGACAGTAATAATCATTGCATCCGTCGGATCCATACAAGCAGCGGAACCACGGAGCTTGTTGCTGGGCACCCTGACCAGAAAGGCCAAGTGATTGACGGCCCATCTTCTAACGCTCGATTCGACACTCCCCATGGTCTAGCCGTTACGGCTGACGGTCGCACAGTCTACGTAACGGAACGGAAGCTGTCATCCTTGCGACGTCTCTCTCTTGATACTCCCCATGGCCGTCTTGTCCGCGTCGACACTCTCGCAACGGCTAACCGAATTTCTTCCTCTTCTTCTTCTTCTTCTTCTTCTTCTTCTTCTTCTTCTTCTTCTTCTTCTTCGTCTCAGTTTCTTACAGTCGCTTTGAGTCAATCGGAACAGTTTCTCTACTTGGCGGACAGCTCAGGAATCGTTTACAAGCTGGCAATCAACAGATCATCAGCTACAGAGCACCCTCATGGGAATCAGCCTACGGCATCGTCGACGCCTCCCGGTGGAGGGAGACAGGGAGAGGGACGGGTGAAGTCCAAGGGAAAGCGTCTCATCAAATTTGCTGTAATTAGCGCCGCCTTGGTTCTGTGTGTTGTCGCATGTACCTTATCCTGTTACTCAAGTACCCGCATTCGCTTACCACGTGTAGACTGCCCGAGAGCTCGCCGCTCCGCGGTGATTGAGGTGACGGCAACAAAAAGTCTGCCTCCCGACGTTGCCGATGCTGCTGCTGCTGCTGTCGCTGTTGCTGCTCCCATTGACGCCGCTGATCAGCCCGATGACGACGATCCGGTCAACGGCACGTCGACTACGAATGTAGCGTCCGAGTCCATCAAGCACGTGGCAGACACGTGTCAGAAGAGGGTCGCGACCTTGGTGAGCTCTGGCCGACCGGCTCCTATCCGCACTTCCCGTCGTCATTGGTCTGCTCTTTCCTTCTCCTCCTCCTCCTCCCCCTCCTCCAGTGCTCCCTCGTCCTGCCGCTCCAATGCAGCGCCTCCTCCCTCGTCTTCCTTTGTTCCCTACTCGAGCGGTAAGATCGTCCCGATCCCGATCGACACGGTGGCGGATGCCTGTGACAACTTCCACCCCGACAACGTGATCCGTAAGGACGGACCTCCCGCACGTCTGACCGTCTACGAGGGCCTCCTCCCTCTCCCTCTTGCTCTCGACAAGGTGTGGATTTACGTTCTGGAGGCGGAGTATGGAGAGTTTTCTGTAAGTCAGACAAGACAGTTTCAGTCCGAGATCCGTCGCCTTGGCGGTATTCATCACACAGGATTGGCCAAGATGATCGGCTACTGCACCGAGCAAAATGCCACGTGGATTCTCGTTTTTCCCGCCATTTCTCCTGGATGGAGTCTGCGCGACATCCTCCATCGATCTTCTTCTCCTCCTCCTCCTCCTCCTTCTCCTTCTCCTTCTCTTCCTCCTGCTGCTGCTGCTGCTGCTGCTGCTGCTAATGCTAATGGGAATCATCCTGGACGTCCGCGTCGTCATTCCTCCTCCCCCCTCCCCCTCCCCAGCAGCTCCGTTGGCCCCTCATTGGCCCGCAGATCCGACGTGGAGACGTGGCGGGAAGAAATCGATAATGCGCCGCCCGTTAACGCGTTATGGCGGGAAAATGCGCCCGCTGGGGAATCGGACTCCGCGGCGTCGCTGCCGCTGATGTCAGAGTTATCATCGGCGGCTTCCATTTCGTCACGTCGAAGAGGAAAGGCGCTTGATTGGCCGACACGTGTCCTTGTAGCGAAGCAGATCAGCAGCGCTCTTGCGTACCTTCACAAGTCCAATCCTCGCATGATACACGGGCGCGTGTCGTCGCAGAGCATCCGATTAGAACGCCAGTGTGCCGATGGCTGGCCTGCGCGCGCGCAGCTAGTCGGCCTTGGTCTGCCCCAGCTGTGCGCCATTGCCGCTGACGAGCGGATCTCCGCCTCCTTCTCCCGCAGCCCAGGACGATGCTCCTTCAGAGGGTGCCCCTGCCTCATACCCCCCCAAACCTTTCCATACGTTCCATCGCAAGAATGGGATTGGGAGGGGGAGGGGGAGGGGGAGGGGGGGGCGGAGGGCGACGATAACTCGGCGGTAATGTACTCGCGGTCGAACGATGTTTACGCGTTCGGAGTTGTACTTCTCGAGCTAATCACAGGAAGGCCCGCACTTGTGCCACGTGTCAGCCTGGGAGAGCATGCCAGTAAATTGGCCAGTAGTGCTGATTCGATCTCGATCGGGGGGGAAGAACCGGATGGCCAATGTGGCGTTAGGAAGGACAGCGAAAACGAGGAGCAGGTAGTCCATGAAAAGCAGGAGGAGATTCTGAAGAATAAGGAGAAGAAGGGGGAGGAAGAGGAGGAGGAGGAGGAGGAGGAGCAGGAGAGGGAGGAGGAGGAGAAGGAGGAGGAGAAGGAGAGGGAGGAGGAGGAGAAGGAGGCCGCTGAGAAGGAGAAGGAGAGCGGAACACACCTAACACTTGTATCATGGATGAGACATTTATTGCGGGCGAACGAAACAATCGGGAAGGAGGAGATGGAGGTGTATGTTGATTCTGGACTCCCCGTCGAGGGTCCTCAAGGGATGGCCGTGCGTTCTTTGACTGTCTTGGCAATGTCCTGCGTCGATCGGGATCCCACGAAACGCCCTGCCATGGATGCTGTTCATAGACACATCTGGAATATCCAGCTCGCCATGAGTCGAGCTCGTTACTGATCTCTCTCTCTCTCTCTCTCTCTCTCTCTCTATACTTCTTCTTTTGGCGACTGCGGCTGCTGCGGCTGCTTCTCCTCCGCCGCGGGAAGGGTCTCTGCACCTAGTCCTACTTGTATATAAACTCGCAGCTCCTATGTTTTTCTTCTCTTTTCGTTTAAAAACACCCGCCCGCCCCCGCCCAGCATAACGCTCTGGAGTGGAAGACTCCACTCATCATCCATGATTGACGCGTCATCTGTATTCCTAGACTCTTTTTTTTTTTTTTTTTTTGTATTCCTGTATTTCGTAGGTAGAGAAGATTGTACGACCTATAGAACAGATCCTGCTCAAGTGCAGTCGTGCAGATTTTTTTTTTCAGGAAGGACTCGTTGTCAGATGGGCAGGCTATTAAGAATATTGTTAGGTGCCATCCGGGCTTTCCTTTTTTGTACAGGTGGTATTCCTGGCTATTCTTGTCCCCTGCCTGAGGGGCTGATAGCTCTCCCAAAGAGAATGGAGCTATCAGCTATCAGCTATTAACTCAGGTGGTGGGTTGTGGGTGAATAGTGGGATACATGCCCACGCGCTCAAATAGTCCCTACATGCCTTGAGGCCGGGGGAACTCCATGCAGTATTCGTATTCGCTCCCTGAAATAGAAAAAAAATAGATGGAGCTATCACATTAGGCATGCACGATTCCACTTTAGGAGGCTGTTCATCATTGTATTTTTGCGCGGAAGCTTCAACTTCCTTTTCCTTTCGGACTCTCGCGTCTATATTTCAACTGTTCATAGGTGTGTACCCCCGACCCGTTGGAGAAGCTTTTTTTTTTTTTTTTTTTTAACCCAACAGAAATTCCCCAAACCCTCAAGGAACACTGCTGAAAACCATAGAGGCCAAGGGTAGGTAATGAAAGAAAGAAAGAAAATCCTTCGCGACATCCGTTAAAATTGGAACGATACAGAGAAGATTAGCATGGCCCCTGCGCAAGGATGAATCTTAATAAAAAAAAAAAAAAAAAAGTAATGAAAGAAAGATAGGTTCCATGAATGATGACATGGCAGAACTCCAGTTAAAAAATGATATGTGAGGTTAGAGAAATTTATATATGGCTGTACCCCCCTATCAGGAGACTGCACCTTTTTTTTTTTTTTTTTTTTTCCCCCCTCAAACAACCCTTTATTCCAGGCAAAACGAGGCGGGGGACCTCACAATTCAACCCGGAGTTATCCCGGCAGCATCAGCCGGTTTCGCTTACAGCCAAATGGCTGGACGTGACACTAGGGTCGGGAAATGGGTCTGGCTCCACTACTATCTGCTGTACGATTTCAGATAGTAAGTCACCGCTCCACTTACTATCCGAAATCCACCTTCGGAAATCACCGTATGGATGTCAGATGGCGCCCTCCGGATCCACCATACGATCCCGTATAGTTCACAGCCTGCAGAAGTCGTTACTCGGAGGGTGGTCGAAGGAGGTCGGCGTAGCATCGCAAAATCGTATGGAGAGCCTGCACTCTGGGCCGACAAATTGATGTCTTGTAGTGCTGTGAGAGTGTTTTGTAGTGAACTCCAAAATTGGAGAATTGTATAGCGGATAGTAAGTGGAGCGACACTAGGTTTTATACGGGTTTTAGAGCTCTGACAGCTATACGGCGGATAGTAGTGGAGCGAGACCCAATATCTAGGAACAGAGATGGCTAAAACAGAGCCGCTGTCCTCAAATTCCAATCCCAGGAAACAAGTGAAAGCCCAATCCCAGGAAACAAGTGAAAGCACCAGGCCTCAAAAACATCACAAGCCACAAACCACCAAAACAAACTGCTGCAAGCCATAAAACCCAACAATGCAAAAATCCACCTGTAAGAAACCTGGACTACTTAAAACTGCCTAAAAACGGCAGTCCAGTCCCTGGTGGCACATGAGGCTTCAAATTTCAGAATCCTGCCTGCCAAAATATTGTTCATCAATCCATTCTCCATCCGAGTAATCCATTCTCCATCCCGGGGCTCGGTCCCACCTGCGCAGTTTCCGTGTAGAAGGCTACCAGGAAGACAATGGCGGGCGCTGGAGGACCATGGATTGACACAGTCGATGGTTCCTAGAGGCCCTCAAGTGGCTTCCTGGTAGCCTCCTACAACGGAAAAGCACAGGTGGGACCGAGCCCCGAGTAAGTCCCCCCCCCCCAACACCCTCCCTCCCTCCCTCCCTCCCTCCCTATGATGCCATGCGACCCACAGACACCCATTTTTATTTTTATTTTTCTAGAAATGGATCAATTTTTTTGGTTCTGTTTGTTTGTTTCTGTCTTTCTGTTTCTGCAGAATAGTTAGCTTCCATTTCAGGTATCATTTCCCACCCTTCCAAGTTGTTGGCTGCCTTCTTTTTTGGTGCTGGTGGTTCTTGTCTCACCCCTATGAGATGCCAGCCCAGCCTCTGTTTATCAACCGTTCCAAGTCTGTGGGTCGCGCCACACCACTCTCGAAATGTGCAACATGAGAACGAACTTATCCCTAGAACATGGCCAGATGCACCCGCCACATTTTTGTCTTTCTCACATTTCGAGAGTGGTGTGGCGAGGCCCTGTGGAGGGTCTCATGGCAGTAGTGCGGATTCTTGAAGAAGGGCGTCGCCACACCACAGTCTAAATGTGCAGAAGACAGAAATGTGGCAGCTGGGCTAACTGTAGATAGGTACCTGTCATGGGTCCAAATATAAACCTCTGATGTGGCCCGTGGCAGTCCCCAGGGAGGTGGCACGGGTTTCGCCTACCTCGGTCGGACGGTAGGGATACGTCACCTCTCTCGGTAACTCCGAGAATAGGAGTCGAAGGGAGGAGTCAAGGGCAGAGCACGTAGCCGAACTGGTGATGGGGGACGAGTGGTGGAGGACACAAGGTCATATTCGTGGGCCAAAGGGCCGGGAAGAGGATAAGCCCTGACTACGGAGAGAGGAAATATAGGAAGCACCAACATCGCGACTACATCCAGACGCCCATGGCCACGGTCGGGAAAGGAAGATCGATGCAGATACAGACGAAGGTATAAATGGACCCCTCTGAGGCACCTTTAACATGAGTCCAGTTTGGTGGTTGGAAGTTTAACTTAAGTATGGGAATGCTAATCAATATTGAATTCAGTATAAAGATAATCTGTTTATCTATTTAAGTTTGGTCGCGAATACACTAACTGGGTTGTGGGTAATGACATCCAAGGTGATAGCATCGGCCTCAGCTAATCCCACGATGTCAGCATCACCATCTGATGCCGATATCCGAATAAATGACCTCCTGAGTGCTTGCTTCAATGATGGAATCTTACCGCAGAAGGTTACACCAAGCACAATAGAGATAGGAAAAAATTTCGTCAAAGTTATTGTTGACCGAGAATTAGCACGAATTCAAGCAGAATGGTTAAATAACCACGCGGTCTCAATTTTCTTCGACCAATAGTCTTCCTCCTTACCAATGGGAGTGAAAAGTCGTCTGGTACGGATGTACGAAAATGGGTGGGGGGTGTCAGGGGAAACTGGTGCTTCACCAAAGAGAGGTGTCTTCAGGAACGAAGGCTGAAACTTAGCCACATACATGGCATCAGCAAAACAGATCGCGCAATGGATATTGACGGAGAAAGAAGATAAGATCGCATTGGATAACACAACCTACACAGTGCATTTTAGACCTTGGATGTCTTAACAACAACTTCTCCAGTGGAGAGATGCAATGAACCACAAGTTTTTTTGGATTCGCTGTTTAGACGTCCCTGTCTCGGCTATGGGCCCTCTCAAAGGAGCAGTGGAAGATGCTTTCGGGCCCATAATTAAAGATTTTATCCCATATAAATTCCCACTGAAACCCGATCTGCGAGACGTCCGCTTCAATTTAGCTCCACCAGCTAAGCTGCGATACAAACGACGACTCATAGTAGACCGGTGGGAATTTGGATATATGGACATCAAGGTGGCACGCGCTTTGACCCCATGGTGTTCCTTATGACGCAGGTATTTCCACAAAGACTCAGATGAGTCATGTCCGAAGAGCAAAAGCAAGTCATCAAAGGACCTGGAAGAGAAGAAGGAGACAGAGAAAGAAAAGACAGACGAGGGAGGAGACAAAAAAGGGGGAGACAAGGGAAACAAGGGGGGAGACAAGAGAAAAGAAAAAGATGTCGATGATGTCAAGAAGGAACGACGATGGAGAGCAGCAGAAAACAAGAAATCCAGGGAGGAGGAGAACAACCAGGAAAAAAAGAAAGACTCAGGAAGGCAGAAGGGAGATGGGATGGAGAGGAGGTCTAAAAAGGATGAAACAAAGGAATGGGGGAAGAAAAAGACGAAACAGAAGCCAAAAGGGAAGAAATCATGGAAGAAGAAGGTGAGAGAAAGGTTGACAAGGACGGAGAAGGAAAAAGAAACCCC